CCCTAACCAAAAAACATTCAAGCAACAAATGTGACTATTCAATCTTACCTCGTGGCAAAGATCAGTCATCACATATGTTAACTTTGCTCAAAAAAGGACATGAAAGATCTTCGTCTTTCCTTTTAAGCTATCAATTTTGCTCGAAGCTATCTTTAGTCTTTTAGGCTGTAACTGTGATGTGGCTATAAAAGCGGATCGGGTGGCCGTATCGACTCGGCCGCCGTCAACTTGCAAAGGGTTTCAAATAGTTTACTATTGCTGGCTCATGTTGAAGCATTTATGTTGCTTTTCTACCACAGTCGCATACATATTCATTTTGGCAGTGTTTGCCGGCCAACGAATACATTTATTTTTTTTTTTCAGTTTGTCAGCAAGCACTGCCTGTGTTGTGGTACCACCTGGGACCTGTTTTCCCGCAGCTGATGTTGAAATAAGCATGCCAGTTTTATTTCGATTTTGATGATGGAACAGATCATCACCTAAAATGATACTTTGTCTGTCAGTATATCGTGCGACCTCTCGAGTGGTCACTAAGATGTGATGTGGGTGAACAGCGGGAATTGTGCACTTTGGGATGTTACGCTCCATCAGCAAGATGAGTGTAAAGTCTGCCCGTGTCTGCTGATGTGGGCAGAGAGTTTGCTGCATAGACAAAACCCGACCATGTATGAGCCCCCCCCTTACCCCAACCCCCCCCCCCACACACACACACACACACACATTTTCACCTGGGATCGTGCACACAATTATTCACCCACTTGGAATCCGATCGATCCGCTTTTCATGTGTGATGTGTTTATTTAGCTTAACGGCCAGAATGTTTTTAGGCAACGGTGGTATTGGGTAACAAACTGGGATGTTTGCAGGCCATCGGAGAGGGATTGGTTTGAAGAATGGAAGTTGTCCTGCGTTGAAGGAACCCCTGTTATGTTTTCAGTGACCAGCATTTTATCTTTCAACAAAGCGTATACAGGAAAAGTGGTTAAGATCGCATGACTGTCTGCGTCTTATGTGTTGTGTTGTATTATTTTGGTATTTTACGTGAACTGTTCTGTAAAGCGCTTTGTTACAGCTGAAGCTGTTGTGAAAGCGCTATATAAATAAATATGTATCGTATTGTTTCTTCACTGGAGGCTGAAGCAATAGATAATTGCAGAATGAATATTTACTCTTGACTTCTGTTTCATCACACTATGTAGTTGCATGTTGTCAAAACATCACATGGCCACTCTGACATCGTGAAATCACAATTTGACAGAAAAACCATTTCGGGAATTGAAAATATATTTGTTAAAACAGTAGCCACTCAGCTTGGACTAAGTATGCAGCGTGTGCAGTATTTCTGCTTGCAATTACTTTGTTAAAAAAAAAAAAAAAAAAGACAGTGTGGGAGCTTGACTACTACACATTTCTAACAACATTCTATTCAAACGATACAAAACTAAGTGAAATGGAAAGACAACTTTTTGGGTTAAAATGAGAATGTCCGAAAGGCGTCTTAAATTGACTTCTTCCAATTAAGTTTTTGTCTCATTTCATTTTATCTGATTTTCAGATGTGATGCCAAATTGGGTCCTGATTTATTATTATTATTTTACATGTGGTAACATTTCTAGAAAAGACACATTTATGACCTCCTGTTCCCATCCCAAAGTTATATTGGGCAATGTGGAACTGTGCCATATTGCAGGCTTTCAGGAGGTTCCACGCATAACAACACTTTTGTTGCGCTGGCTTGTCTGTGTGTACCTCGCTTTAGCTCAGCTTCCCATAGCTGACGTCATTTGTTCCTCTTCAGACCGCAAACTGACTGAGGCCGAATTGTGCCCATGCTGCTTGCCACTCTAGTTTTATACAATATGTTGCCTTGATTGTTGACTTGATTGATGCTTAGGGAGCAACACATTTTCCCGTAGTATACTCTATATTAGCTATACTGGTGGTTATGGTTTTACACACACACACACACACACACACACACACACACACACACACACACACACACACACACACACAAAAGAAACATAAAACAAACCACATCGTACGTAACAAATTTCAACACTGCTGACAATTCACAGCTTCTCGCTCCTGTTTAAGCCCGGGCCTTCTTCTTCTGTTACAAGGATGTTCAATATTTACACATGTTCACAGAGGGATTCAATATTTTTAAAATGTTGCCCTTGTGCTGAATGGTGCATCCATTCCCAGGACAATGGGTGAGAATGAGTGAGTGAGAGTTGACGATGGTTATCAATATCAGTGATCTCATGAATGAATCAAGTTGACTCAACCATCGTTACCTTAACATCAACTACAAACATAATCACCTTAACATCGACGACAAAAAAATCTGAAGGCGTTTACCCCCAAGTCACATAACCATTGATACAAATAAAGGATATCTTATCTTATCTCCCAAGTTAATTTCTTTCAACGAGCTGATCTTACATCGCTGTAGCCCAGCCTCACCAGTCCTACAACATCAATATTTTTGGACATTGAATGTAATGCGATTACAATTTATCACGGCCCCTCTCTTTCGAAATTTATTTATTTTTTTATCGGGCGTACAAGCTCCCGCACACGCTCGAATTGACTAACACACAGAGCAGCTGCTCCATGGCCACAGGCAGACAGGCTGCTACATCAACTGCTCCATGGGCAACGAGAGCACGAATTGAGCTTTTTTTTTTTTTTTTTTTTTTCTCATTTTTTTTGTCCCGTGCTGCTGCTGCATTAACCGCTACAGCAACGCTTGACCAAGTTCCGTTCTTGGTCTTTTTTTTTTTTTTGGTCATGGATTGTGGATAAAACAAGATCATGTCAACTTGGGGAATTTTACTTAATGCTGATGGAGGGGTGGGGAAAAAAAAGCTTCTCATTAGTACTTGATCACACTATTTCTTTGGTGTTATCGTGGGAGGTGGGCAATGTGTGCGTGAGTGTGTTTTGGGACCTTGTCAGCAGACGGAGCCACAAGGGCCCCTGTGGTAATGTGTGTATTAAATGATTAGTGTGTTAGTTAGCATAACGGCCCTTCAGCAGCGTTTAATCACTCTCAGGGGTGGGCGGCCTCACAGGACGTGGAAGGAAAGGGTGGAGGAGGGGGAAGAGAAGAATTTCAACAGTGGAGTACTGCCTTTTGGATGATGAGTGGAGAGAAGGAGGTGGGGAAAAAAAAAGTGTGACAGAGGGCAAGAATCCAACAGCAACACAATCCGAGCACGGCTAGATACGATCTTTATAAGGCCTTCAACGTCTTGTTAATGTCAGCTCTTGGCTCATCATCATCTGGAGCCAGCGCCCATAAATAACTTTTAATAGCAATGCAGAATGGACACAATAAAAACGGTTCTCGCCTCGGAGACACGCGCTTTCCGTGTGGGTTCGCGGCGCCCTGTCCGCGATTGTCTGGTGAGGGTCTTCCGGGAGCTGTCGGTCGATAATTGCTGTGAAAAGTGCGTGTTGGTGTCGCGGCCTTTTGCCAAGACTCGTGCAGTGGCAAGTGATGACACTTGATTGCGCAGCTTAGTTCACTAGGCGGGGTTCCCCCCGGCGGGACATCCATGTTGTGGTTCTGTTCTCAGCTGCAGCAACACGCCGGGCCATTTCACCATGACTGTGTGTCTAGTAGGGCTCCAGGACTACAATAGTGCCGCAGCGGTTTCTTAGATCTGAGACCCGTCCAGCTTTGGAAGGTGCTTTTAATGTGGACTCATTCAATTTCAGTGAGCTCTTGACCTTTTCACAAACTTGACCAGTAATGAGGATTTCCAAACTGAATTCACCTTTTTATAGACAAACTTGAGTTTCTCCGCGGAATCAGAAATGAATCACATAATATTCATTTGTTGTTCTCTTCGGGGAAAGCAAGTCAGTAATAGTCATCACAATGTGCTCTGCTATTTTTTTTTCATTTGTTTAAAGGGTTTTGACATAGTGGTGCATTAACCAATCACACAAATGTAAACATATTCTGGGAATTACCAATGTTGCCCAGTTGTCCCGAGGTGATCGTGTAATTTTTCAGCTGATTGGCATGGGCTGAGAAAGATCTTTTTTTTTTTTTTTTTTTTGTTTTTTGTTCCCACTTATTTGTAAACGTCACAGAGTGACAGTATAATCCCTAGGTGCAAAGATATATTGCTAAATGGAACAGACAATATCTTAGTATTACATGACACATATAATGTTTCAGCTTCGTGTGGTTGCATGAAAAGGAAAATTCCGATAAAATTCAGAAGCCGTATTGTACAGGGGGCTTGACAAGTCATGAAAAATCTTCACATTGTGTCGACGTTTGACTACGTGGGCAACATCTAGGGTTTGTTAAAAAAATAGAAGCACTGATTTATTTATTCATACACGTGACTCAACACGCTTCACTTTCTGTAACTAAATGTATCATAAAGGTTTAAAAATGTGTTTAAAAAAAAATCACGAAACAAGGACACAGTGCAAGAAAAAAACCACGAAAACATGATTTTAAAAAATACTTTAAAAGACCTTAATTGTAGGTATGGGAAAAGAACATAATTTTAAACCAGGATTTAAATGTGTTTCCACTTTACTAGTATGTATTGAATCTTTATTCATTCAAATGATTCACGCTGATATTAAAGGGTGCCAGCAAATCGGGGGAACGTATTATACACAAGTACATTTGACGACAGTTCCTTGATCAACTGTGAGTAAAAGAACAATAAATTCATTGCATTCACCTTTTTTTTTTTTTAAATTATATAGGTGGTGCGAGAATCTCTGGATAGATTGTGAGGTCAAGCTCTAATTTTGATGGAATACTTCCTGATGAATCCATTTTCTCACAGAAAAAAAAAATCAAGAACCTGATGTTTCATGAATGTATTTCAATGTAACATAAAAGTGTGTTTCTGTGTGCTTTTTATGCAGGACTCACTACATAGATATTTTGACAGGTCATATGTGGTTTTCTTCCAGTTCCGGTAATCTTATTTGAAATTGTCGCGTTTGTGTTGCAGAAAGAACTCGATGCCACCGCCACACAGCTCGCCAACAGACAGGACGAGAGCGACCAGTCCAGGAAGAAGCTCATCGACCTTAGCCGCGAGTTCAAGAAGAACACACCAGAGGTAAGCGAGTGTGCCTGTCAGCTGCGAACCCACCGACACGTGCCCCCTGCATTGTCTGTTGACCATAGTTTGCCTCTGCATGCGTGTGCGCTCTCCTTCATCAACGGAGCCGTGATTATTTCCAGAGAAAGCGCAACAGCAGAGGAGGAGCGCGGAGATGTGGGCTTGGCTCCCAAAAATAGTCTCTCCATTAGTTTCCCTGAAATCCTAAAGAGACAAAACAGAAAACCCTTCAGGGGTTTGTATTATCTGACCTAGTTTATTTATGCGTGCAGAAAGTGTGGTCCCTGTGTGTGTGTGTGTGTGTGTGTGTGTGTGTGTGTGTGTGTGTGTGTGTGTGTGTGTGTGTGCGTGTGTGCGCGTGTGAGAGCGGGAGGGTGCAGGAGAGAGGGGGGGAGTGTGACAACGCTACAAAGCGGGATCAGGGGGGAATTCTGTCCTTTTCCTGTGTTTCCATCCCTCCTCCTGGGAATTTTTGTTTCATCTGTTACCCGGGCAACACATTTTTAAACCGCACATGTGAAAACAAAGTATTGTTATTATTGGTAATGTCACCATGGTGAATTATTGATGGCCCAATGAATTATGTATGAACGCAGTAGACGGCGGATAGAAAATTGTCAACTCTCTGTGGAGTTGATCGCAGACCTATTATGGTTAACACAGGGTGAAGATTGGCGCTATTGACTTTAGCTCGGAGCACACCCGCTTGAGCGGATGATCCTCTAGAGCAGCGTTTTTCAAACACTGTGCCGCGGCACACCGGTGTGCCGCGAGATTTGGTCAGGTGTGCCGTGCGAAATGATCCAATTTGTATGCTTGCGCGGTCAATCGCCTGGCAGAGTAATCGTGTAGTACTCTTCCATACCGGTAGGTAGCAGCAGCAGCTAGCTAACTGCCTTGTGCTTCGAGACAAGCGAAGTTTCTGGCACAAGGCAATACAACAAAAGCTATCTTTGATTTGGATTTATTTTTATCGGAGATGCAATGGCACCGATTCCGTTTCACGTCACAATCATGGAGTCCATGGCTCGGCCGACCTCGGTGTCGACCACACACAGGAAGGTTTTCAATTGTAAACATTGACCAGATATAAGTTTTACGGTTGTTAGCCCTGACTTTTATCCTATCAGGTCGGAGAGGCGAAATCTTTGAACACACCCCACAACATATGGTAATCACTTGACGTTTTAGAGACATTTGATAATTGCACTTTTGAATGGAAATTTGATCTGAAGAGGGGTGACACCGCTCAAACTCGACCCGCTTTCTAACACGAGCCTGTCTACTTCACAGTAATACTGGTCGAAGCGATTAGTCAATGAGTCTCGTTAGCTACGCCTTATGAATATTTCATGCTTGAAGTTGACTAATTGCTCATCACAGGTTTCGGGCATCTCGTTTTGTAATTGGCCAGGCGTAATGCCCTTTGGAGCAGCAAAATGCCCAGCCAACAAGGTGACACACGTTCTTGATATTTACTGAGCAGGTTCAGGATTACAAAAATAAGCAGGTTGTGGAAGTGGATTTGAAAAGTTGGGTGATATTCTGATTTTGACACCCTTTCACCGTCTCCTCGTTACACCGGGGTGTTTGGTAATACCATCGCTAATTTTAGACATATTCTGTAGTTTGCGCCAACCGCCGCGAGTCTGTCTGGACTCATTGCCCAAATCTGCAATCGACGTTTGTTTACCTTTTAACCAAATTTTAATGGATTACTAGTTATACTTTTGCTGAAAAACACATCATAGTCAAAAAAGAAAAACTTTTATCAAAGTAGTAAATGGTAAATGAAGTGCACTTTTACAGTGCTTTAGCTACACCATGTTTTCCAAAGCCCTTTTTCAAAAATGATACCAATGACAACGCAGCATCAACTTTTGGTTTAAAATTTACTTGAACCTCCAGGATCCCTCGCTGCGAACTGTCGAACGGCAGAACACAGGGTGTTCTTCAAACCATCCATCCATTCGTTTTCTGAAGCATTAATCGTTTTGGACTCATTTTATATCTATTTGCTTGTCGTCAAGCTGCTGTCTAGCGCTATGCTAACCTGAGTATTTTCGTCTCCTCTCCGCCATAGAAATAGACATATGCCCTTCGTTTGCCGCTGAGAGAGGCCAGCCGACAAAGTTGTTCATAAACTGTCTAGCTGGGCCTCAGTGACTGCTTAAGAGTTGAATTTAATGCTCAATAGGCGGTGACTCCGGGTTCGCTTGCTGTGAGGTAGCCACTAGGCCAGCTTCACACGACACTCTTGAGCCTCTTTTTCTCTTTGCTCTTAAGTCATTTCATTCTTTGGGGATTTTGACGGAGATTGGATTGTTACAAATATCAGACATCCAGTTATGATACAAGCTTGATGATATCTTATGGGCTGTCACGTGACTAATAGAATGTCAATCGCCGTGCAGTCCCAAGAAACATTATAGCTTGTAACTCATAACTATTAGTTTAGTTATAGTAATACAGAGTTGAAAAGACAACTGCACGTATGTATGTGCTGTAAAAAACATATTTTAATACCATATTATTTGGTCACCAAGTGCAGCATTTATTCATGATGATTTTGAAAGTGACACTGTTGCTGTTTTTTAGACATCGGCGGATACCGTATTACCAAAATACTGCCCAATTCAAGAGCATAGTGGTTAGTGGAAGGCTGAACCGTGGTGGCTTGAGACATGTGATACTCTACATTTTTTTAGATTTGAGCTCTCATTGGGGCTCTTTTTTTTTTTTGTCTGTTTTTTGCCATAAATGTCACCCCCCCCCCCAAAAAAAAAACAACACACAGATATTCCTTGGACGCTAGCTGAAATCAGGTCTCGTGTAGCTTGCATGAAAATGCTGTTGTCATTTTTTTAAAAGTATATCTTCGACTATTTCAAATAGGACCCGACCGATTACTCGGCTGGACGATTTGATCGCTCTATACTTTCAAAATTCGACAAGTTTTGCCATTACTTCCTTACAGAAACAAATTTTAAGATGAGACAAAGATAATGACATTACCCCCGCACCCCCCCCACCCCCAAAGCCAATTTTTGCCAATTTTTCTCCCAGTTGTAAAGTTCAACTAATACTAAAGCACAAAGTATTATGAAGCAGTCAAATGATCTGCCTGTAATTCATATCTTTACTTTTGTCAGTGATAAGGGACCAACAAGTCATTTTATTCATTAAATAGCTTTTAAATTGATCGTCCGATTTATCACTTACCAGAATTTTATTCTGCCAAAGATTCGAATTCCACTCAAGCCTAAATATTTATTTCCAATGTCATTTTCAAATCTAACAGTTGCAGGAGGAAATGAAGCACACATGCTCAAGGAAGGAGGAAGTGTTACAATCACACAATAAACACACACACACACACACACACACACACACACACACACACACACACACACACACACACTTACATAGAGGCAGATAACTGGGCAAGGACATTCATCAGTGTAACTAGGCTGTGATTTAGGAAGGCTCCTCTGGCGTCTGCATGGCCCCTGGCATCTCCCTGGTATGTGGAGGAGGAATCCGAGCCGGGCCAGTCTAGTGACAGGATTCATTACAGGGCTGTAATGGCACTAAAAGGCACAACACTTTGAAAGAAGCCTATAAGCGTTGATGTGGTCTTTACCAAAAAGGCTGCTCGGTAAAATTTGATGATGTGGCCTGATTAAAAATGCCGTGATTGTGTCCATCCGTACGTGCGTGTGCGTGTGTGTGTGTGTGTGTGTGGGGCCCGTTCTATGGAGCGGGCCTGTCAGCTCTTTATGGTCGGCACCAGTCAGCGGAGATCATAGTCACATCAGATCAGACTGCATTAAGTTGAGCGGGAGTCCGTCTCTGATCCATAATTCAGCAAGCAGGCGAGCGGGGCCCACGTTGACTGTGTCTCGTCTAGTGAGCCGTACTCGCTGTGAACCACACACACACACACACACACACACACACACACACACACACACACACACACACACACACGGCAGCTTTTGTAACATTTTAAAAAGTAGTGCAAAGAAATGCGGTGTAAAAAAAGTTTTCATTATTTATTTGGACTGACACACTGATTTTTTTTTGCGTGCGTGTGTGTGTGCGTGTGTGTGTGTGTGTGTGTGTGTGTGTGTGTGTGTGTGTGTGTGTGTTTGTGTGTGCGTGCGCCACCTGAATTATTCATTCTGTTCTTAATTTTCCTTTTAGTTAGTCAAGGCTCCTCTACGAGCCTTTCATAAAGGCCGGGGTGGGAATTGTTGTAAAATGCCCCAAAGATTGCTAGCCAGAGGCAGCGGAAGTAAAGCAACTCTGTGTGTTCTTGTGTGTCGTCCTGCATATGTATGTGGGCGCACACATGCACATGCGCACGCGTTTGTGTTTAGCTGCGGGGCAGACAGACAGCGAATGGGAGTTCCATATTCCCCGGAGACTTCCTCGGGCTGGCCTGTCTGCTGACTGCCGGCAGCTCACACACTAGCCATCCATCTCCTCCTCCTCCTCCTCCTAGTGTTGTCTGCACACACACACACACACACACACACACACACACACACACACACACACACACACACACACACTATGTGCGCTCGTGTGTACATTTTTATGTTGTTATATGTCATAAATCTTTGAAAGTGGAGGGGGCCGGTTGGGCAGCACACTGGAGAGATGACCAAATGGGTTCAGGGCAGCAATAAGGTTTGGCAAAAGCAGCAAATAACTTGTCCCGGCATGTTTTCTTGATTAAATGTTCGTTTGCGAATCTTCTACTATTACTCCGTGTCATTTAAACAATTGTTCAGCTGGCTCTTTTATGCAAAGAACTTGGGGGTGGGCGTAGGCGGGTTCACAAGAAGTTTATTTGAGCAAAGTTGGCGTTTATGGCAGCGTGACTAGACGGCATTGCGTTGCACAGAGATTTCTAGGTTTATTGTACGTGAATAATGTATGTTTAATGTTGAAAGTCATTGAAAACAAAGTGAATGAATGGCGGATTTATGAAATTATTATTTAATTAGAATCTATTGCAAATGAGAGGAGACGCTGTCGTCCGCTATGTGTGGGTGTTTGTTTTGTGTCTGCTTATCTTGGGTGCGTTTGAAAGGGAGCGAGGGGGTGGGGTGAAGGTCATATCCCTGTCAGGGGAATATTGAATTGGTCCAGACAAACAGCCACTGCGACCCCTGATGAGGTAACAATAGAGGCGGGTCAGCGAGGTCGCGACCTGTCCTCAGCCTGTCTGGACGGACCTGGGATCTGGCCAGAAACTGTTCCTGGGTCAGTTTGGGATATGCCGTCTCCCCCGCTGCCTTGTCCGTGAGGTTTTTGGTCTATGAGGCGTACATCTGTCGTTGCCCCACTTCACATCTTTATAAGGCACTGTTATTTTTTTATTTTTTACACTTTGCATATGTGTGTGTGTGTGAGTGTTTGTGTGTGTATTCAGCGAGTGTGCAAATCAAATGTTCCTGAACAAAATGTACTATTCTGCTACGCCTTTTACCGTACGCTCCAGTTCAGTCTGTCAGGATGTAGGCTCAGCTAACAGCCTGGTGATTTGCATGTTCCCCTGATACATAGTCCACTAGCTATCTAATCAGAAACTGCTGACTCTCACTGGAAAGTCATGCAATGGGACTCGTGCAGGATGGAAAGCGTTTGCTGTACAGTGATTAAAAAAAAAAAAAAAAAAAAAAAAAATTCAAATGGGTGCTCAGAGACAATTTGCATTAACTGTAGGCCTACTTTGCGGCTTATGCTAGCTCCTCGCACGCAGTCGTGGCGCCTCTGGGTGGCCCAGGTGGTGCTGCACCTGCTCTTGTGAGAAGCCCGGTCCACAAGGGCACCCCAGGGTGCAAACCTGGTCTCATGCTCATCACTCACACGCGCACCGCTCATTCCCTCTTGACTGTGGTGAGAGTGATTCTCTGAGATGCGCTAATTTGATTACTGCTACAGTGGAGCCTCCTCCCAGTTGACTACAATCTGTTTCCAATTTGTTCATCTTTTAAGCTACAGTATTTGTGTAAAATTTGTGATGAAGAGTGTGCGGATTGTTTCAAGTTTCAGTGTTAGCACAGTCATATTGGATGGCTATCTCTTGAAATGCACATGGAAATAGACACAGAAAAATGGATGTATGCGCCCTCGACCATCCAGTCAAGTAATAGCGTGTGAGTAGTTTTTCTTTTTGACTGGTAAAAAGTAAGAAAACCATTTTATTGACATAATTAAAAATAACTACCTACAGTATTGGTGTTGTTGATTCAATTTTTACACCTCTTTAATTCAAAACTAGCTTTCAGTACTCTGCGTAAGTTACACGAACTTCTGGCCGCACACATTCAGCCAATCACAGATGCCAGCGGGCATGCGTGTTGTTTGAACTCACAAGGAAAATTGCTCAGTTGTTGACTATGGACACACTAAATTTTTGATAAACAATGGTAGGAGATATACTGCCCTCATGCTGAACGTGATTTGAGCTGTTTTTGTGACATGATTACATATAAAGGCAGTACGGTTCATCACATACACACCAGAGGAAGGAAAACGTTTTGTGGTCAGTTGATAAAAAAAAAAAAAAAAAAAAAAAAAAAATTCAAATGGGTGCTCAGAGACAATTTGCATTAACTGTAGGCCTACTTTGCGGCTTATGCTAGCTCCTCGCACGCAGTCGTGGCGCCTCTGGGTGGCCCAGGTGGTGCTGCACCTGCTCTTGTGAGAAGCCCGGTCCACAAGGGCACCCCAGGGTGCAAACCTGGTCTCATGCTCATCACTCACACGCGCACCGCTCATTCCCTCTTGACTGTGGTGAGAGTGATTCTCTGAGATGCGCTAATTTGATTACTGCTACAGTGGAGCCTCCTCCCAGTTGACTACAATCTGTTTCCAATTTGTTCATCTTTTAAGCTACAGTATTTGTGTAAAATTTGTGATGAAGAGTGTGCGGATTGTTTCAAGTTTCAGTGTTAGCACAGTCATATTGGATGGCTATCTCTTGAAATGCACATGGAAATAGACACAGAAAAATGGATGTATGCGCCCTCGACCATCCAGTCAAGTAATAGCGTGTGAGTAGTTTTTCTTTTTGACTGGTAAAAAGTAAGAAAACCATTTTATTGACATAATTAAAAATAACTACCTACAGTATTGGTGTTGTTGATTCAATTTTTACACCTCTTTAATTCAAAACTAGCTTTCAGTACTCTGCGTAAGTTACACGAACTTCTGGCCGCACACATTCAGCCAATCACAGATGCCAGCGGGCATGCGTGTTGTTTGAACTCACAAGGAAAATTGCTCAGTTGTTGACTATGGACACACTAAATTTTTGATAAACAATGGTAGGAGATATACTGCCCTCATGCTGAACGTGATTTGAGCTGTTTTTGTGACATGATTACATATAAAGGCAGTACGGTTCATCACATACACACCAGCTAAAAAGTGGACGCGGGCCAAACAATGTAGGACACAATGATTGCGGTCTGTGGACTTGTACATCACTGCCAGCCCAGCTTCCAATGCGAGCCAAAAAGGAGCAGGCGTTGGCTATTTGGTGTAGCTTGTTAAATGTGTGGACTTGTTTACAGCTTTTGAACCAAAATTGCAATACTTAAAGCAAATGAAAGCCGCGGCCTTGAAAGACTGGCGATGTTCATGGGTTAGTTTTTCATTACTGTCAGAAAAGGAGATGTAAACGCAATGCTGTATTTAATGTTTATCTGCATTTTTAAAAGTCATTTTTGGTAGGTTTCCCAGTTGTCTGGTTTTAGTGGGGTTCACATGTTAAGGCGCCGCTTGAATTGTTTTGAGTCCGTTTTCACAATGTCTCAGTCATTACAATTTCATCGAACCTGACCAGTCTTCCTTCATTTTTCAGGACTTTAGGAAACAAGTCGCCCCTTTGCTCAAGAGCTTCCAAGGAGAGGTGAGTTCTTCCTGTTATACTTGTGATAAATCTGCTTATTAAACGCAGCGCTCACCAGACGCCATTTTAACAGCCGCTCTGACTTCGCTTGTCCTTTAGTCTTCTCTATTACTTCTTTTCCTTCCCAACTCCTCTTGTTCTTTCTCTCGCCACTATCTCATTTCCCCTCCCACTTTTTTCTCCTCTTGATTTTCCTGTCCTATTCATGAAGTCCTGTAGCCCGAGGGTGTGTTTAAATTGCATCCTGCAACAACAACCAAAAAAAAAAAAAAAGGCATCACTAAACCCTGGCTTTAGCCTGTCGCAACTCACCGAATGCCATTTCCTCTGACTGCGTTTATTTTTCTGCATGTCTGACTGGGGTATTTGTTGTTTTTATTTTTTGTCGATGGGGGTGAATCACAGGCCACATTTATTTTTTTTTTTGGTGTAACATTTCGTTCCCTCACCCACCTCCTACATTTGCATATACCTTGACCTATAAGGGGTGTGTGTGTGTGTGTGTGTGTGTGTGTGTGTGTGTGTGTGTGTGTGTGTGTGTGTGTGTGTGTGTGTGTGTGCGCGTGCGTGTGCGCGCGCACTTATTTCACACTCCCACACCCAAACTCCTCCATCATTTTGGCCTATTTCCACGCTGACTCCTCCTCTCAGCATTTCCAGTTCACTCCCATATGTGAGAGAGGGTAAGAGTGGAAGCGGCTGTTTTGGACTCAGGCATTATTTGGGGCTGGAGTGGGTGGACATGCGGTGCAGCCAGCTCCCCGACCAGCTCACACAAAAACACGCACACACACTCTGTGCACGCAAATAGATAGTGACAGGGCTGCTGTGCTACTGGCCATAGAATATTACAGTTTAACACTGGGTTACTTTCCATATTCTTGTGTTGGTTGGGGCAGCCACCACAGCCAGCGGTTGTGTTGAAAAAACAAAAACATGCTATAATTCAAAGTGGCTCCAGCATGTTCTGCTGATGATCCACACTCTATTTAGAGTGAAGAAACTGCACCGATGTACAGTAACTGGGGTTTTGTCAGCTGTTTCCAACACTGTGTCGACACACCTCAACGTGCACAGTCCAACAAAATGAGGCGCTTAGTGGGTGGTCGGCCAGCCAAGGAGACATTATTGTGCGATTATTGAGATAATACTGTACACCCGCGCCAGTCGAGAAGCAGACCATCAATCAGTCAACTATTCTGCTCTGCCGGCATGCCACAACATGATCTGCGCCAGGAGTGTGTAATTTTTAGCCCGGGATTTGTTTGCTTACCCTCCCCCCCCTCAAGCCTTTTGAACGAGAATAAGACAGCGTCACGTCTTCATTGCCTATCCTCCAGCAACCGTCTGGATGTCAGTTCCAGACAGAACTTTGAAGTTTGGCTCTTTGTCAATGGAAGGTACATACCTGCAGGTTGTAATTATTATTATTATTACCAATAAAGTGTACAGTTTCCACAAAGCCTCACTTTAGTGTGTGTGTGGGTGAGTGTGTGTGCGTTTGTGTGTGTGTGCGTGCGTGCGTGTGTGTGTGTGCGTGCGTGAGGATGCGTGTGTGTGTGTGTGTGTGTGTGTGTGTGTGTGTGTGTGTGTGTGTGTGTGTGTGTGTGTGTGTGTGTGTGTGTATGTTGCATGCTCAGTCTTCCTTGTTGGTCCATCGATCAGATAAGCTTTTCCATTATCCGAGGCTTCAGTCTTTGCTTCCCATAGCCGCCTCTTATCAGAATCAAGTGGGGCCACACACACACACACACACACACACACACACACACTTCCCACTCCCCCTCACCCTCTCACCCACAGACTCACCAACCACTCAGGTGGGCCTGATGCCCTTCACACAGGAATAGTGGTGTGAGGTGGTGCTGAGTGACGATGGCCCAAGGGCGCTGACGTACATCTACGGATGTGTTCTTGGGATGTGTCAGGAATTCCTTTTTTTTGCAATTGCAAGCATTTCTCCCGATGCAGGCGTGGCACCATTTGTGTCACTTCATTTGTTTTGAGTGTGCGTGTGTGCATGCGGGGTATGGGGGCAGGGGAGGATGTGAGAGCAGATGTGATCGGGATTGGTGGAGCGCGCTGCACTCTGGGAACCGCAAGGGCTGTATTTGCAAATCCTGGGTGGTCTTCTAATGGCTCTGGTCCTGCAGTTAACCTGCCTCTAACTGTAGGGTGTGTCCTACATTAAACTCTATTTCCTGCCTCCCATGTCGGGCTATATAAAGCTGCCGTACCACTGACCTTGGCCCCGTCATTGTACAGTCATGCAGCTGTCTTCCTTCATCGCCTCTGGAAGATAATATATGTGTAACAAACATTCTTCAATATTTTGAGTTTTAGCCACTTAAATACACTAATCATGTTGTCTCTTTTTCCCTCGCTGCGCACATTTGATTGCCCGCATTCAATGACGCACTCTGTGCTCTGAATTTTGGCTGCTGAGACTGCATGCTTCACTATTTCATCCATAGGTACGCCTCGATACAAAATTATGAATTACATTAACCATACGGGTATGTATAACTTTTTTGACTTCAGAGGTGCATTTTTTTTTCTTCAGATTGGGTTATCCAACTTTAAAGTGTAAATGCATGAGCTGTCTGGGAGCAGATGAAAATAACGATAGGGAGGTTTGATTGACACGTTGGCAGAGAGACGCTAATCTAAGTTTGATTCACCGAAGTTCTAACACCACAATAACAAACTTGAACAGGTATTAGATATTAAATGACTCACTCAGATCTTGGTGTCAATCAAAACTGAGCGTGATCATCTTTGGCAACTTCATGCAGTGTGTTTTTGCGCACCTCATGTTGAGGCCAGGGAGTTGATAGCATGACTGTTTACAGGGACACGCATCGGTTTGATTGTAGTGTGTGAGCAGTATTAGTCCTGAGCATCCGTAATCTTCCATTAGTGGCTGCACAATTGACGAACGCAATCACTCCATCATGTCACACTATGAGGGCAATGCACACGGGGGAGAATTAACATATAAAAGCAGCAGGACAGCGTTGGGTGTGCGAATGTGTGGATCTGCATGCGAGACATGTCAGACCTGTCCATCCGGAGCTTAAAAGAGAAACATGAGAAGCACGTGACAAAGAATGACGGTTAGAAAGAAAAATGGACGGGAACATGGACATGACGAGAGGGAGAATTGAAAAGAGAAAAAATAATGGAGGGGGCGTGAGGGGTACTGCTTGCACCATCCGGCCCGAGGGCCAGATGTTTTGCGGCAAAAAAAAAAAAAAAAATTGAGATGAATCAAAGCCATGTGAAGAGATTTATTAGGTTCCCATAAGAGCGCAGGCAGAATTACATGTATCCCACTTTGTTTACAGTGGCGAGGACCTCTAAACCTCCCATCAGCAACACTACTGGTTTGGCTGGGAATGTGAAGACTTAATATTTGGACTTACGTAGGCTTTTGTCTCTACCCCCCAACCCCCACCGCGAATGTGCTGTGGAGCTGGAAGACAAACACATTCCTGTTTAGTCTGAGTGTGTGAGGCACAGTAGTCAGCTGTAGCGCTGCCCAGTACAGTAGCAACATCTGAATGTCTTTATTTGGCATCTGTTTCCCTTCATTTCGACTCGACTTTCAGATGTGTTGTCGGCCTACTCAGCCTGCTTCTCTTATCGAAGCGTGACAGTCAGTCTATCGCCGTTTCACCATTGACAAGCCTATTAATACATCTCCAGTATGATAACAGAATTAATCCCTTATGGATCCATTCTAATGCTGTCCATTTCGATTAATATCTGGGACGGAACGCATGCCCTGTCCTCTCGTGTTAATGGCTGCATTGGTCATGGATCCACGCTGTATTGCCGCTAAGAGCTGACTGAATAATCTGCTCCCGCTGTGGCTGGAAAGACTGAGCCAGCTGTTTAATGATGTCAGCGGGTTGGAGGGGATATGACCACACTTGCACTCATTCACTCGCTCGCTTAGGACAGACAGACAAACAGACCGACATGAATACACAGCAAATGGAACGCGCCCGTTGCAGTCTGAACAGCTGAGCTGATTGCACAGGAAGGAAACACAACAACTTTGGTTACATGCAACATACCAACACACGGTCGGGGTGGACGACTGTCTCTAAGCCACCTAGCGATACAGGTCTGTTTCGTTAGCCACTGTGCCATTCGGGACTATAAACCTAAATATGGCGGAGTTTTGGCGTGATAGCAAAGCAAGTACGTCCCACTGCTGAGGCGGTACCATATCGATAGCCACAAAATGCCGCCCTGTTTAAAAAAAAATTAATGCAGTTTTGTTTTCAACTTTCATTTTGTGCAGTCATGTTTACAACCCAAATGGTTGTACTGGCGGCTTCTTTTCTGTGTTTTTCCATTGCGCATCCGCAGACCGCTTTGAATTGCACGTGGACCGCAGATGCAGGACACGGTTGCTGCATTTGCAAAATGCCACTTTTCAGGGTTCATGTTGGTACGTGTACCAAGCATGCGCATGAGTCCATGCATCCTTATCGATAAACACGTTTGTAGTGCGGTGGACCATATGCACGGCAACCCATTAAACATTTTCTGGTGAAAAGGTCAGATGCCATATGAGTTGTCTCCGTCAACATGTTCGAAGCTGCTGAGACAGCAATTGACCGAAAAATAACCTCCTTCCTTAAACTCATTATAACCTGGGGTTGTGTAATAAGTATACTCAAGTACTTAACTATATATTATATGTATGTAGAACCACATAGAGTTTAACACATGCTGAGTGACTCACAACTACAAAGGACATGGAAAGTGAATATTCGTCGAGCCACTTTGACCATCACAACTAATACAGAAAAGAGTCGGCAGCATTTGGAGCTCCGTCTCCCTCATTGCCCTGCGATTACTCCGTCTGGCTGAGCCAGCCGCTCTCGTCACGAAGCTACTGTCGCAGGGATCGAGAGAGTCTGGAGCCGTGAGCACATTGATCCTGTCAGTAGTAGAAACTTGCCTTTATTATTATTTTTTTAGTCGTATAGTTTTCTTTATTGCTTCTGTTTTATGTTTTCATAAACCCAATTTCATTGTTTCCGTGCCACGGGTCGGTATTGGTACAACCTTACTGGAAAGTAGTCGACGACTACGTTTGTCAATGGAAAGACAAACTCAACTGTACTGCTTGGGGTAAAGTGTGAAAGTTCAAAGGTCAATGTATAGCCTTTAACACCTATGGATCTCACCTCACGCACACATCTGAGGTGATGTGAACTCGCTTACACTTCATTTCTCTTTTGCCTTGACAGATCGACGCCCTCAGTAAGAGGAGTAAAGAAGCAGAGGCCGCCTTCTTAAACGTGTACAAGAAAATAATCGATGTCCCAGGTAAGACGAGTCATCGTGCTGTTTCCTCTGTGGCTCTAGATGCGTCATCAGGCTACAAAAAATGTCGTCAGCGGGACCCTTTCATGCATGCAGGCAGCACCAACAGATGAGGAAAGGGAAAAAGCATGACACCATCCCTCTGGTGCTCCGCCGCGGTGCATCCAGGCGTGCTGCAGCGTCCTATTATGTCCACATGAGATCTCGTCTGCACTGGTGTTGCCTTTAAGAACGTCTTTAAAGAAAAAAAAAAGTTGTCCTCATGTGCTTGTCGAGCGCTGCCGCGACGTACCATGAGCAGTCACGGCGTCGAGGTCGGAGAGGGACATGCAGCACCGCTGGTGGGAGATCTTAGGCTACACGGGTGCCCTGAGGGGGCCACGTATGTCGGAACAAGAGGCGTCAAGTTCATCTATAGCGTAAGGAGGTCATCATATTCCCACACGGTTAGACCTACAGTAATATCTTTGGATTGTACTGCTCCCAATAAGTCAGCGGCGGCACTGACGGGGGCTATTCTTAACTTGCAGCAAGACAATGATGTAATGCCTGATGCACACACAGCAGCAACCTGACTAATGCGGCGGTCTTGAAAGTGGAAACAGTGTGTTTTGTTCTGTCTTCTATCAGCTGAAGGCCTGGTTAGTCAGCCCAGTGTGCTCTGCTGGAGATTAAAGGTGTCTGGTGAGCGCGTTTAGCATCAGTGGCCCACAAGTCAGGCTACTTTTAACTGGCTGTACAGTAGATTCGAAGGAGGAGGAGGAGGGGTGGCGATGATGGTGTACGTGAAGGACAAAGGTTTGATAAGGCAGAGAAAGTTACATTTCAAGGGCGCCAACTTGGAGGCAGATAGGAGTTCCATTCAGGTTGTGTGGTTATGTTGCTCAATGTTTGTTTGTACTGTGTGTGCGCAGCCGATGTGTGAACACACATGCGAGCATGTAGCTTTACCCTGCATGGTGTGTCACCTTGACAGCACAGAATCAGCATGAAATTCTCCAATCGTTCTCTGCTGATCTCTCATTAGCATAGTTAAGATATCTAACTGTGTCAGACATGAGGCGCGCACACAGTCCTTACCCCCAGCTGTAAGCTGTCAGTTCCTCTTATCTGTACTACGCACACACACACACACACACACACACACACACACACACACACACACACACACACACACACACACAGAAAATGCTCTTTTCGCTGGCATGCTGATGAGCGTCGCCCGCGTCTCTTGGCTGCCTGTCACCAGTCTGCCACCCATGAGCACCAATCAGATGTGATTGGCCTGACTGACAGGGCTCTCTTCATCACACTGACAGTTAACCCTGCTGTGTATTCAGACATGTTGGGAAGATGCCTCCAGAAAGTCTTTCTTCCGCCGCTTTTTTTTTTTTTTTTTGCATTACATATTCGACGCCTTCCACATTTCTTGGCGTGTGTGCTGTCAAGCCCATTCTAAGGAAATAACTTTATTCACGGTCATCGCTAGTAGCTAGCTATCCATTAGCCACTTGATTGCGACATGTCAAAGGTCACAGTTGATATTACCGCTGATGGTGTCTCAAAACAAAATTTGTCTCAAGACACATTTTATGTGGAACTCTGACATAACAACGCCTTGTACGATGGCAACTCATGATTAGAAAAATATGGCCCTAAAGGTCGAAGTTGAACCTTTAGGATCTCGTAAACCAAGTGATGAGTGGTCGCTTAGTGTTTATTTTTGTTGTTGTTTGTTGCTGACTTTCTTTTATGCTTGTCTTTAAGTCACAACATGAGGAAATACGATGTAAATAGGGATGTAATGATTATTCAAATAAATTCAATAATTCGATAACAAAAAAAAAGATTAAAGCAAAATCAGTGTGTCAAAGCTACGCAGAGCCTCTTTTCCACACGGACTAATGTTACTGCGGTTGCATGTATCACTCCATGCAGAAATACGTTGGCGGCAAAGGAGGAGGATAGTCTGTTAAAGACAGTGAATGTCCCAAAGAGGGTAAAGTGCAATGTGTACCACAACAGCAAGTCCACAATCTCCAACAGAGATCATAATTATGTTAGCTAATTTAAAGTAGCCTACCACTGCCATTTGAAACGTATTCTAATAACCCCAACAAATGGACAAAAATAGACACTGTTGCCGGTCTACTGCCAGTCCCTTCAATGAGCAAACGGTAAGAAAACAACACGTAATAAGAGCTGTAATTCACGAGCTACTGATGGGTTTGACTCACTCAGATTAACTTAACATTTTAATAGGTCGCTACCTTTACACTCTCATTAGCTAACCACTCACCAGGCCAGGCCTGAGATTGATTGATAAAAAACGTAAAGTAGGGCTCCACATTAACTTTTGGACTGGTAGCACTGGTGTGACCAGCTTTTTTGGTTGGTTGCACCAACACAGAATTGATCGCACCCTTTTTCTTTGGGACGGTACAGTATGACCATATTTGCTGATGCATAGTTGCCTCAATTGGTAAACCGTAGTCTTGTGATGTGAAGATTGACATTGACTGAAGATAGATTTTACCGTTACGACAACTTTTTTGGGAACAAGCAGCGGCTGACAGAACAGAAGACAAAAAGGGAAACGATACTGTGGTAAAAACTTAAAACAATAACGGCTGACAGCGAAACAACTGGAAATGTGTTTTATTTGTATTATAAAATCTAATTTGAATGCTTTTAATAAGTAATGTTCTATATCCAACATTTTAAAATATTTTACAATTGCTGTGTGAATTTTGTGTGAATGTTCTCCCTGTTCCTGCGTGGGTTTTCCCCGGGTACTCTGGTTTCCTCCCACATTCCAAAAACATGCATGGCAGGTTAAATTGTTCCTAGGTGTGAGTGTGAGAGCGGATGGTTGTTCGTCTATGTGTGCCCTGCGATTGTCTGGCAACCAGTTTAGGGTGGACCCCCGCCTCTTGCCCAAAGACAGCTGGGACAGGCTCTAGCACGTCGGCGACCCTTGTGAGAATAAGATAATGGATGGATGGATGTATAAACACACACAAACATTTTTTTTTCACACTACTGATATTTTTATTTATATACAGGACTTAACAAAGGCACCAAAATATTTAATTGTTTAAGAGGAGCCGCTGCGGGTGCCCACGCCGCCATCAAAAGAAAAGTCAACATAAAATGACAAAATAATACAAGACAACACATAAGACGCAGACAATCGTGCAATCTATGTACTTCGCGTCTTGCTGAACGCGAGAGGTTTTGATGTTTAAGTTGGCGATCGCTTAGTACAAGTTTCGTTCGAGACCCAATCATCCATATACATCGTGTGTTTTTCAACATAAGTACCAAAAGCATTTATAATTCCACATGCACCAGACAAGCGCGCGATCTCCTTTGCCAAAATTGCTGTGCGTGTCGTAAGCGCCTCAGTGAACTTGAGCGAGCTGAACTGGAAGCCGTTCATGATCAATCAAATCGTGCTAGTTAAGTTAGATGGGCGTCAACGTGGCAAAGTACACATCCAGACTTGGATATTTATTTCTGTAATTTATACAGGCAGGGTTTAATCTGACGCGCATTCCACCTTCTGTGTGCAGTGTGATAGAGGGACACAGAGTTGGAGCGCCTTCGCTATATGCTCCGGTAGGAGCCTTAAAACATGTACTCGCGCTGCGCCACAGGATGAAATGATGAGAAATATGAGTTAACAAAGGTTTTATGATGGCTGAGTTTGACCGGGATGAACAGATTAATTAAATTTCAGTCGAACTGTGTCTGTTTTGAAAATTTGAAGTACATTTTTCATTTATTATACTTTTTTTTTTTTTTTAAAGGTAATTCTCAATGAAAAATTCAATAGACACTCTGCATCATAGTGTCCCGAAAGCCATTATGCACTGCCTATTTTGTATTTCATTTCAGATAGCATTCCAAGAGTTGTGAGGCCATCAGAAATTAACAGTGGCTTTGTATCAGTTACTTGTTAGCCCACTGTTCTATGATAACGCCAGCACTTGCGATATTTTGTCCTTGACGGCGCTAGCGGTTCTTCGCAGAGGGAGCAGAGGTCACGGTCGGTGGCAAAATAATGGTCCCGGAGCCGTTAGAGATTCATCGCCTTGCTCAAGGACACCTTAGCGGGGTCAAACGTTTGCTCTCACGGGGCCTGATGAATGCGGTTATTGCATTCTTGTAATCTGCTTTGCGCCTGGTGTTAAATGTTGTGTGTGTACTCCTGTGGCAGATCCCGTACCTGTGCTGGAGCTGGCTCAGCAGCTGCAGCTGAAGCTCCAGAGGATGCACGACATTGAGATGGAGAACACCAAACTTCGAGAGACACTGGAGGACTACAACAAAGAGTTTGCAGAGGTCAAAAACCAAGGTTAGATACATATATACAGATCTATATATATCTTGTAGATCTATATTTAAAATTGCTGCTTTAAAATAAGCGGTAAAATATGGCCTGCAAGCAACCAAGAATTTACATTATCACGAGGCCTGTATGATTTGTTGCATCACATCCACCTCACATTTTTGAGGTTGGGGGATCAAAGCCCGGCTCTGGTCTTTTTGTGTAGAATTGACATGTTCCTTTAGGCCAGAATGAATTTAGAAAATTATCTCATTGCAATTTTTTTTCAACTCAGTATTCCAATTTTGATTTAATATAGAATTATTTTTCAACGTTTTTTTTAACAAGCACGGACAATAAATGAACCTGTATTACAATAAATTTATTGACTGACCCATGTTTTCCCCCCCCCCAATGGCAGCCTTTGCAATTTGAAAATTGCACTCTACTACATTTAAATGTCAATTTGACTTGTATTAATTATTCCGCCCCATTGTACTTCAATCATGTTTCCCACTAAAATTAATAGAAATGGAATTAATCCTTTCCAGCCCCACAACCAGCAGAAGGACAAATGTTCCGAACCAAAGTAAAGTGCGGGAGTGAGAGGGGGAGGGGTGCAGGGGGGATGACAATATTTCCTTTCACAACACATGAAAATGATGAAAAGCAAAAGTATCACCAGGGAGCCTGTTAATCAGATTTGAAAATAAATAATCTATCCTGACATCACAAGCAACTTGAGAGCCGTGTGCCACTTTGAATTAGGGCTTTATAAATCTTGAGTGTGATTTGGAAATGGTTGCAATTAGAATTAAAAATAGATGGCCCGACAAGTCTGTGCAGTGAAAATGTGAATAGAATCTAGTGTTCCTCCCAGGTCCACGACATTAACGGCAGTATGTTGATGACATTTTTACAGTGGAGAGAAACCTGCACGGCGGACATTTTCAATCCACATTTGGAAATATTTGAACGCCTCGTGCATTATTAAAAGCACAAAATGTACAAGGTTTTACTCTTCCAATTAGGTTTTCATGGGGAAAGAACATGTGGCACATTTTCATGAATAAAAAACGACAAGCGACCTCGGGGTAAAGAAAGATGGAAAAAGTGACAAAGGCGGAGATGAGCGAAAAGGAGTTGTAAAAGTGGTTTAATTTTAAGTCCAGGGCAGGGCGGGGAATAGCGAGAGGAGGAGGGCTAGAGGGAGCAGGGAATGTTTTGGAATCTCCCCTTTTTTTTCTCAGCGAGGGTTAATTGGGCCAGCTCGATAGCGGCAGGGTTCCATTCTGCCATTGATTTTCCTGTTCCCTCATCCTTTATCCCTACTTCCCGCCTCAATAGATGGGGGGATATTTAAACCCCAAAACACGCTGTGTAACTCCCACTCCTGTTCAACACACACGCACACACATGCCGAGCTGCACATGGACGCACACACATACAAATGGAGCGGGGGCCATTGATCCTTGCAACCTAAATGTTTAAAGTTCAGTTAAGCAGTTAAGGGGTAAGAGGGCTCTGAGGGGACTCTCCTATTGATTATGTGTCAGAGTAGTGAGACCGGAGTTTAAATCACACGGGGCGTGCGCGCACGAGGCGTGCACACACACACATGCATGCTAAGAGCCCTCAGTCGAAGGCTGCAATGCTCTTTATCACTGTCTCAGGCATTTATATCTTTCTCTGAGAAATCCACACACATACACAAGAGGCCTATTTATTACTCCAGTTATGTTAGATTTATTTCCGGGCCACCCCGTGCAGAGCCCAGCCGTCAGCAGGTTATGGGGTTTCAGCACTAATGCAGTCCTAATGAATACGGCGTATCTGCTCTCGGAGAACATGAGTGTACCCTCCGTCTGCTTTAGATGGAAAGGCCAGGCAGGAGCCTCCGGTGCGCGTGGAGCAGGTCCTAGTCTGTGTTGACTTGGGAAAGCTCACACACACACACACTCAGACATGTGCACTGGCATACACTGGAAGTGTGAAGCGCCTGAATAATACGACAGAAGTGCACCTTTCCTTCTTCCTTGTGTTTATATCTTTAAAAAGTATTCTTACCTCCCAACTGACATAGAGTGGTGCCCCAATATCCGAGTGACACTACTTGCTAATTTTTTCGAGACGCTAGCCGTCGCTTGGCCGAAATTTTTTGCTTTGATTTGTAAGCGTAGACCTGAGATACCAGTATCGTATGATGGCGGTGAACTCAACTCGACTCACTTCACAGTGAGCGTCACTGAATTGGTGACCAGTTCTCCATTTTTCAAAAGATTTTCAAGCTGTTTAATGCCACCCCCAGTTGAAGTTTACTGTCAAACTAACATGAAACAAAGACAATTACACCTTGTACATTAAAAATAAAAAAAGCACATAGCTTACCCTTTCAGTTCACTAGCTTCATGCCAACTTTAATAGCATCCATCGATGTTGCAACACCTGCATTAAGCAATGGATAGACCACAAACGGTGCAGCAATACACTTAGAAAGACCGGTTCTCTGTAATGTATTCTTTATCCTCGGCGAAGAACGACTATTATTGGTGTCGAATGGATGAGCTGGGAGAAATTTAGACCTCTCAATGAACTGTCTGTTTGTATTATACTGCCCCCAGGTGGCCAAGGCAGGCACACCAGTAAGTGTAGCACAGTGACCATTCAAGTGATGCAATGTGACAAAAACTGTTTCAGAATGTCTTTCCTGTATGTATTTTTTCAAGTACTCTTAACCTTTTTCCATGTCAAACACACAGTACAAAATTTTTTTAAGGCTTAAATGGCTTCATAGCATTTTCCTTCATTTCAATGGGAAAAGATGATTTAAGAAAATTTGAGTGTTTTGGGTTATGAGCAGGTTAACAGACAAATTAACCTTGTGTCTCAGTGCTCCACTTTATTTGTTTTGGATTCATGTCAGGGGTTTTATTTTATTCAACTCTGATTTCAATTTTTGTCAAAATGGAAATTTTATTTTAGTTAGTATTTTTGTTGTTTTGAACGAAAGGGACATTTGGTTATAATCTTGTGTTCTCTCTCATGTGGCCTGACCAACCTCAAAGAGAACTTTTGACTTGTTGAAAACATTTATTTGTAGGCCTTTTAGATTTGAATTTGAGTAACCCTGATTTAAAGTCTTCACTGAGGCTAACATGCATGATTTTTTAGAATGGGGGAGGGGGGGTGTCAGAGTATTCGCAGAAAACTAATGCACGCAGAGACAACCTGCAGACTCCACACAAGAAGGCTCAAGACGATATTTACACCTTTAATTTATTTTGTAATCAAATCATAATACCATAATGACAAGCTGATCACCGTTCAATTACTTGGATAATGAGTGTTAAGTTTAGATCAAATTGAGAATAAAAGAACTCAATAGATTTCACTCAAATGAGCCTGATACGAACAAATCACAGGAGTGTATGTATGACACCTGCTATTAAACTATAAATCGTTTGATTTCAACGTGTTGTCATTGCCTTTAATAGCCTCACAATCTTTGTCTAATCTAACATTAAAACATTTCATAAATCACCAAAAGTCTAAATAGACTTGCTAACCACTCACTGCCTGTAGCACTTAGTTTGCTTAAACAGTAACCTTTTACATACAATATAGAATGAGTGAAAATATCTGTTCTTACAGTTTTTTTTTAATTCAACCCTGTTTTCCACGTTGCCTCTTTATTCACATTCTTTGTGTTTTTATTGCCTCTATTTGTATTCATTGTTGACCCGTGCTTCTCCCTCCCGCAGAGGTGACCATCAAGGCCTTGAAGGAAAAGATCCGCGAGTATGAGCAGTCGCTGAAGAACCAAGCTGAGAACCTGGCACAAGAAACGCAAATCCAGTTACACAACGACTATGCAGAGAAAGAGAGGTGTGCGTGCGTGCGTGCGCCTGTTGTGATTTGAGTCATTGGATGATCACATGATAGATTTTTTCTTTCTTTCTTTCTTTCTTTTTTTTTTTTTATTTAAAAAAAACCCAAGCATTCAGTCTTCATCAGTTCAATCAACCCATTTGCATTGCGTTACTCATTGCCTAGACTCTTTTAGATGAATGGCGGATTGGACAGTAAAACAATGGCTGATTTCTCCCATGGCTGTGCCACTTACCGTGATTGGAATCAGCCACCTCAGGCTGCTATTTTCTCTCTTCGCCACAAACTATTTCAACCATCCTGTCTGGATTTAATGTTACACATGGGTCTTTTTATTGGCTCCGGGAGTGGAATGAAACCCTAGAAATAGCTTGATTTGATATCCTGAAGATTAGCGTTCATAATTAATTCTAATGGGCCACTTCCTCGTTTGATAAAAAGCCGTTTGGATTTCTTTTGTTGAATGTTGATTTTTGTCAGAAACATAGGGCGCTTGTGCTTGCAGTAATGAATCATAAAAAATGCATTGGCGCTAGATATTTTATCAATGTAAAATGTTATCTTGTGGTGCCACATTAAGTCGAATTTGTCAAAGGCATGTGTTAAATGTGGTTATCCTGGTTCGTGTTTATGATATTTCAAAGTTTAAAGAGACATGCTTGTGTTCTTAGAAATGACAGCGAACGTCTCTGGCATCTTATGCCTCTGATTAGATCTACAAGAAACCACAGGACCAGAAAAAAAAAAAACACTCTTATGATGATGATGATGATGATGATTGTTTTTTTTTTTTTTTTGTGAACTGTTGTTATTATTATTTTTTTTTTTTTGTGAACCCCATCTTTCTCACAAGTGTTCTGGTGTCATTGTCAGCTGAAGCGGGGTACACCCTGGCCATTTACGCACACTTTCACAAGAGGCTTCAATGATGCATATTTTTGAAATGTGGGAGCGATCAGTCTCACATGGAGAAAACACACACGACCTAGGGGAGAACGTGCAAAATACACACAGGAAAGCCCGGAGCTGAGATTCAAACTCAGAACTCTGAGGCAGAGTACTGTACTCGTTCGCCTATTGACATACTCGTCGGCCTATTTGAGAAATGTTTTTTTTTTTTTTTTTTTTGGTGTGATATCGCATTTAGAAAATGTGGTCCAAAAAAGAGTTTAGTGTAAAACGGTACAACTTCATTATCCTCAATGTCGACCATTTTGTGTCTTCTCGGGGAACCCTCTTCTCTGACTGACAAGTTTCAATTAAAAATGTCCACCAATTACTCGAGTAGACCAAAATTCCAAGACATCAACGGATCCAAATCACTGTAAAGTTTCCAATCAATCAATCAATCAATCAATCAATCAATCAATCAAACAAACTTTATTTATATAGCACTTTTCATACATAGAAATGCATTGAAACGCTGTACCATGCTTTAAAACATTTCAAACTTTTTTCAAAAAAAAAAAAAAAAAAAAAGCCGACACTTACCAAAAAACTCGACTTAACTCGCACAAATGGAAGATTATTGGTGAGAAGAGCAGTGTGGGCAGGAGAATAGGTCATGTATGAGGTTAGTCAATTGTTTTATTTTTTTGTTTTTGTTATGAATTTCCACTTGTCACGTTGCTACCCAAAGCCAATGTGCAAGTGAGACTGAGACTCCTGCAATTGCAAATGTACTTCTATATTTAGTCATTTGTGAAATATTTCAGCCCATCTTAACAAAATCATCAGGTGCCCCCCGGCTCGCAATAAAGTACAGCATTACGGCACGTTGTTCATTTAAATGTCAATCCTGTTGCGCCTTGCGAGCTCATTGCCCAATTTAAGACATAGAGACGAAGATGAGTTGTCCGATTTGCATTTCCTGTACGTCAGTGTTTTATAGCCCCCTTCCTGTCTGACTGAGGGCCCACTTCCTGCCTGTGAGAGGGGGCAGCAAATGGATGGCACCTCTGATACGTACGTGGCTTCTTCAAGGAGCGAGCGAAGGAGAAAGATGAAAGGATGAAATTGAGGGCAGGGAGAAAAAAAATGGAGATGACAGGAGAGACGGCGCGGCGGAGAAGGGGGGCATCAAAGAGTGCCATAAAGACACTCTTTGTGCTAGATTATTGATGTTTTTACACGCGGCGGCAATTTCTGAGCAGAGACTAACTTTTTATATGCCAAGAATGAATCTATTTTATCCTTGTGGGTTTTGGAGGCCCACGCCTCCCCGCCTGCTTCCTCGACGTCCCCCCCGCCCCCACCCCCTCGGCGCTGAGTGCCCCAGTGGCTAGACATTCCTGCCTAATAGGACTACTTCATGAGGAGTTGGTTGCATTGGAGGGATTTTTACTCGGGTTGTGGGTGGGGGGGGGGGGTGACACCTCAGAAATGGTGGGAAAAATGGAGAATAGCTGCAGTTGCCGCAAAGTGTAAACCCCGGGATTTATTGACGCAGTCTAGCTGTGACATTGTGCTCTCTAACGTGACTTTTGCCTGCCTTGGTAGGAAACTACAGGAGAGCCAAGATTCCATGTCGTCACGGTTGGAAGAGGCCGAGCACAAGTCCCAGTCCCTCCAGACAGGTAATCCACCTTGAAGGAACTAGGAAATTTGACGTCGCTTTAGTTAAAAGTGTATCTAACAACTCTCTTGTCATTGTTTTTTGCAGTACTTGAAACGACTCAGGCCGAGCTCTTTGATTTGAAGGCAAAATATGACGAGGAATCCTCAGCAAAGTATGTGTCTTCTCCACCTCCTCCTCCTGTTTCTCTCACCCCCTCCATAGTCTGTTCCTGACATAATCATCCTGTTTAGTGTACCTCTTTGCCTGGAAACTCCCTCTCCTCTCGGAACTGCTGGATTGTCTCCCACAAGGCTCAGCCAGCCTCAAAATCCCGGCATTAACCCTGCACTGTAAATACTGACAGGGACTGTGATGCGTTCTGCAGCCACAGCGAGCACAACATTTCCTCGTCGTGTCAAAGTGCACCCCAGCCTGCACTGCAATCCCAAATTTACTGAAGCATTATCTGGAGGGAGACGGGGAGAGTGACTGTGAGCACAGATGTGAACACAAACATCTAAATCAGTTAGCATTTGGCATGGTGATCAAAGACTGGATTTATTGAGTGTGATTTTAATTTGATCATCTCATGTCCCCAATCCTGTCATTTTAGATGATTTTAAAATAACGTACTTGCACAAAGAGGGGGGTAATAACATTACAACAACATGCATGCCTTTCTTATTACTCTATTTCAGCAGCATCCACATACTCGAAAATGCTACAGTATAACAACAACTGACTTTGAGCAAGCATTATTGATGTTCCCTCTTTTCCACTGACGGGACAATGATTGAGATTCCCTCTGAATTATTAAGGAATCAAAACTTGTCAGCGTTAATGAGTAATCTTCCCTCATGTCTATCACACAAGAGTCCTTTTGAACCATCCCTGCTTTTGATACCAGTTGAGAAATCAAAGGGTCAGGCTCTTCGGCATGATAGCCAGATTGTGTAGATAATTGTAGGGACGTCATCACTCACCCAGGTGCCCCACTGCTATAATCTTAGCCACTTACAAATTCGGTCACAAAAAGGTCCTTACCAGCGTGTGGAATCGCCATCGATGGGCTCACACCTAATGCTTATATAACACTCTCTTCCTGGGGGCCACGTCATCGGATGAACAAAATGGGATAGTCGTGAGACAACACGGCGAGGATGGGATGGGTAAATGCGGCAGGCCGTTCTTGACATGGACGTGCGGCAAGATGTTTAAATGATCAAATACAACTCGGAGGCATTCCCAACTGCCACGGACAGCATATTTTTTACTCTGAGGTTATACATTGCCCACCTACGACTCTTCTAAGGCTCATCAATTTGTTTAATTGACCTGCAATGCCTTTTGTGGCATACCCCATTTGTTTATAACGCTTAGTGTTGACTGTGGCTGTGTTAGGGCGAGAGCCCTCTCCGTTACTCACATGTGGTCGTGTGAATGTGAATTAAGGCTCTTTTTACATGTTTTGGCAGAGGAGCTCGATTTGTGAATTAGTTGCTGACAGAAAAATAATGTTATCAAACGTGTGCCTCACCGCACTTGTGCCCACTTTGGAGTGGTGCCAAGGGAGTGGAGCTTCCAGGCCACAAACCATCCCTGAATTTCGGACGAGGAGGATGTTGGTAATCCAAATATAGGCTGGAGTCGATGAACAGTTTTTTCAAAGCTTTTAATAACAGAATATTCCGGGCACCCACGGTTTACAGACAATGGCTGCGGTGGTCACGAGTGCGAAGCAGGAAGGGATTCACATCATTTTAATATCATCAGAAGGGTGGACCAAAACTCAAGGTGTGACATCAGAACTTTCGTTTTTCCTCAACCGATTCTTAGCTTGTAGCAAGTGGTGCATTCCTTTGTCTGTGCGTCTCTACAAAGTCTCCAGTAGGGAGTGTTCCAATTTTAAGTGATGATTGCTTCAAGGACGCAGAGTCTCGCTGCGAGCATGTGAAAATTATACATCATGACTAAATATGAGCAGAATACACACTTCATTTGCTTGTGTTTGTTTTGTTAGAAACATACATGGGGAAGAGAACCTTGTAAAAATAATCACACGTTAAATCGCAATTGCAATATTGTCGGGGTAGATTAGCAGTCTATTAGTAGTCTATTCGATTAGTTTTCAAAATCATTCAGCCCTACTACCCAACCTCTTGTGCAAAATCTCTAGTACTTCAAGAATACATCTGCGAAGAGATCTCCCGCTTTCTGTCAGTTCTGGTTTCAGCTTTTTCCAGGTTCTAAAAAAAAAAAAAATAATAATAATAATAATTATAATAATAATAATAATAATAAATCTTAAAAACAATCTGTACTCAAGAGCCAGAGCACCCTCAGCTGATACAGAAATGTCATTTGTATCAATGAAAACGTCACACGTCCCACCTACTCCTTATCCCCAACCACATAATTTTCACCACACATCAAACTCTCTTAAACCCCAGGGCTCATTTGCAGAAAAATAAATAAACGAATAAATAAATAAGTTTGTGAGTCATAGAGGTTGTGACTGATGAGGGACCCGTGAGTATCAGGTAGCTCCAATCCTCGAGAAGCTCCAATCCATCAGTATCGATCTTTCTAGCGGTGGCGAAGATGAAAACAGCTTTTTACTCGTCAGCACTCCACTCTGTGAAGTGGCACTTTGACGTTCACATCGCCGCGTTCCCTCGGGTGAGGTAGTGGAAGTGACCATTCAAAACAGCACAGATCCGAGTCAAGACATGTCAGCGAAAAATGAAAATCGCTCGATTGTTTTGGCTTCGAGACGACCTGTAAAATGGTCTGTTTCTGAATCCCCTCAATGTATAAAACACAGCGAATTACAAACTTAGCTCGGCAGGCAGGGTTTTTCTTCTCTCCCCCCACCTTGGCCCATATTCACCGTGCCTGTCCATTAAGAGAGTTGTTAAATTGACTGGCTGTTCCAAACAGATCGATCCAACTTGCCTCATCCTCGCACTACTTTTTCGACTTCTCCCTCACTCACTACTCTCCACACTTTTATCTTTTATCTGTTTATGAGAGGACAGTCCACAGGAAGATTGCACAGGGCAACGGTGCCAATCAATACCTTCTATAGACTATCTGCAGTCACCCCTTTGCATTTTCTTTCGCCCGCAGCCCGATCGCACTCTCGCTCATTACTTTGTTTTCAGCCCTTCTTTTGCCCCTTTTATGTGGCAAGAAAGCACATTTTGTGTACAAGGGCCCCATTTGCTTGAATGAGCTAATAAACACATGCCTGCGCACATCTCGACGCACGCTCATGTACACATTCAAACGCACACGCGCTCGCGCGCTCGCTCACTCACTCGTGAGCCCGAGGCAGTCAGGGTCCTTGACTATGTGGCGTGCTGTGATCTGAAATTTTAATGCAACGCTTTAAAGCACACACAAACCCCTCTCTAACCCTGCACCCTCCCAGTCCTTGGAGTCCTTCCCCCCCCGTTTACTGCTTGACTGAGCAAATCGCCAGTGTTTGGCTGAACACAACTTTTAACCCTTTGAATGCTTCACAGTTTGGCACCGCAAAAAGATGCGTACATAAGTGCACGTTTTCACACAAGCGCTTGCATCCGTACACACACGCACACTTGCTCTGAACTTGCTGCTAAGGAGGCCATTGCGTGACAAATCTCCCATCCTCTTGGTGCATTTGGGTAATCTGCCTTTTAAAACACACACGCGCGCACACACACACACACACACACACACAAAACACACAAAACACACACACACGTCCTGAGAATTTGTTCGATGTTGCAGTGCTGGGGACTGTGTGATCTCCAGCAGGAAGCAGACCGGCAGATGTAGAGGAGCCCCCTCTCTGTGTTAGTTCTTTGAGGGTCTGGCTGGCCGTGTTTTACCCGTTTAGTCACTATTAAAGATTAATCATATATTGATCCATGGCTCTGCAGGGTGGTGCGCGCGCGCGTTTGTGTGAGTGTCAGAGTGTGTGTGTTTGCACACACACGTGTAGTTTAATCTTTGTAAAGGCTTGGGGGTCCATTTGCGGAGGAACAAAATTGTAGGTGATGAGGGAGCACTTTGTTCAAATACAGTATACACACACACACACACACACACACACACACACACACACACACACACACACACACACACACACACTACTATTCAGTGGACCAAAAAGTACACACACTGTCACACTCGCACAACCAGCTTCCTTTTAAGCCTCCTTGAAATCCCCAAGGTAACGTTCACTGTGAAAATGTAATGTAGAAAGAAAGGAAAATGGGGTGATGAAAGCTGCTGGGCAAAAAAAAAAAAAAGAAAAACGCGGAAAAGCAAGCCGAGGTCTGGAGGCTACTGCGAAGAAGACGGGATCAGAGTGTGATAGAGGAGGGAAATGAAAATCTAAATCGGGGAATATCCTGCTGGCACAGAGGACACGGGCTGAAGTGGGTGTGGGGGTGTGGGGGGCGGGGGAGTAGCAACGTGGACGAGTTGCAGAAAAAGGAGAGCGGCAGACATACAGTTGGTTTGGGGGGGGGTGAAAAGGAAGTACATCTCTGGACCTTTTTCAGAAGCTTTCCTTCGCTGACCGATGACACTGGGTGCATCACACATGCTACAAAAAAACCTGCATTTCCTTAGTGTGCATTTGAAATGTGCTCTATAGCTCCTCCATGTGGCTGCTCTGTCTAAACTTGACCTTTTTCGTAAATCTTCACCTT